TTGGTGTTATCGGTTAATCAATGCAATATACCGATAATAACGCTTACTGAGACAATTCGTGACTAAATTCAACAGATATTTGTTGAATGCAATTTAATTTGAGGTAAAATACCGTAAAATATTTAATTATTTTTTACTTGTACAATAACCCTAATTGATAATATTTACTTTTTAGGGTGGTTGACTAGCGTACTCACCCCGTATGCAAAAATAGTGCTTCATAGGAGGATGCAAAATTATATTCGGTGGCAAGCAACAATGATCCCGCTCAAGATTCCACCCGAAATCCCCTCTCCATTCTCGTCTGGCATTTTTTGTGTTTTATTTTAAAACAACTTGTGTTGTAGATCTGAACCACCATACATGTTCAACGGCCAAAAAATATACTCGTCTAGGAGCCTCTGGGAAAGGACCCACAATGTCGATTCCTCATTGGTGAAAGGGCCATGGGTTGGTAATGTTGGTTTGCTTTGTAGATGGGACCCTTTGTACTGGCGAGAAGCTTTGGAATTCAACACATATCCTTGTGATTTCTTCTGCTCTAATGTACATTTTTGGCAAATAGAGTCCCATCCGCAAGACTCTACTAGTCAGGGCTCTTGCTCCCTTGTGTGCTTTCGCCTCACCAGCGTGTGTTTGTTTGAGTACTTATTGGCCTTCATTGTCATTAATGCATTTCAACCATGAAGTTAGGCACCCTTTCTTGTATAGGTTGCCATTATTGATCATGAAATGTGAGGCCTTTATTTTTATCTTCCTTGCTTCTGCGACGTCGTCTAGTAGATTACCAAATATCAAATAATCGTACATCGGAGTAATCCAAGTAGTTTCCTCTGCGTTATTGTGTCAATAGATTCTTCGTCTATACTCCTATTGTATAATACTTCTACTAAAACACTTTTTTGACAGATGATTGAATGTCGTTGTTGTTAGATTAGGTGTCTAAGCCAATAACTAAATTGGTATATACTTCAGTTATTAGCAAAGTCCTTTTTGGTTGCCCTCTAACCTAGTAATTGGCTAGAATGACTTTTGGAGAGATAAGTTGATTTATTAATTTTTTATAAGATTAATAAATAACAATAAATAATTTATCAATATATTATGAGAATAATATAATAATTAGAAATATTATTATTTAATTAAAAATTAATTAGAAATAATTTTGGGATTAATTGTATTAATTAAAAGTACAAGGACCTAAGATATAATTGCTCAATAGTTGAACAAAAGGGATTCCAAAACCTTACAAGGGGGTGGACGGTTTTGGGGTGGTTCTAGGGTTTCTAGAATATTTGTTGGGTCGAATGTAAATAGTGAGAAGTTGAAAGTAGTTTGTGTTTGTAAAGTGTCGAAACTTGTATAGTTTCGACACTCTATCTATTTATAAGGCAATTTAGTTTCGACACTTAAATGTCTAGTCCTTGTATTTTTTTGTGAGTCTGTAGTACCCTATAAATAGGGTAAGTACATAGAGTAGAGTAAAGAATGACCTAAGAGTCATTATTCTTCTTGTACTCAGAAACTCTCTTGTACTCTTCAGACGTAATCGATCCAAACAGATCTTATTTAGATCTTGTGTCCATTTACAACTTTAATTGATTCAATCGTGTTCTTAATAAATTTCTAACATGATTCAATTGGTATCAGAGCAGGATCCACTCAATCGATTGAAGTTTTCACGTAATTTTTTTTTGAATCGCTCTTTTCGATTCAAAATCTTTCGCAAATTGAATCAAGAAACCGGGTCAATTGATTGTATTGAATTGATTATGCACTCTGTGTGTTAGATCGATTGATTTCTGATCAATATCTGATTGATTTCTTTCTCAGATTTCTATTTGAATAAAAAATTCTCTTTCTTCAAAATCCGTACAACAATGGCGAATTTCTGTATGAACATGATGACTAATTTCTCTTACTTACTCGGATCATCAACAAAGATTCTGATGTTGATTTCGGAGTATTATGAGCAATGGGCTGACAGGATGGAGGATTATCTGAATGATATTGATGAAGATCTGATGATATTGATAGTTTATTTTATTTACTTATTTTTATAGTTTATTTTAGTATATTTCATTCATATTTTAGTTAATTTCCATATATATTTTCCTTTTTGTTATTTTATGACCACTTTCGGGTACTTTCTAGTTTCGTGAGCATAATTGCAGATTTTAAGGAGACTAGCGGAGCGGGAATGTTCAGGGATTATGGGAAGCGATTGGGCTTGGAGGATAACAAGGATTTTGGGCTTGATGGCTATGGAGGTGATGCATGAAGTGGGCTTGAAAATTAATTGAAGGCTTGGAAGAAATAAACTTTAAAGATGCGAGATGCAGGGGATTTTTCAAGTGAGTGAAGATTGATGATCGGGAGATTACGGGAGCTGCGAATCGTTTAGAAAAGGCTAGTTGGGCTCAAAATGAAGAAAGCTTGAAGAAAAATGGGCTAGAAACTGATCGGGCTCAAACTGGGCCAATGGTTAAGCTGTGGAAGCCCAACACTTGAAGAAGGCCAAAACTCCGTCATCCTTACGCGGCCCGCGTGGATCCCTGCATGGGGCATTTTTGGAAATTCAAATGGAGCTCTATATGGGGAAGGTTGGTGTGCCACTTTTCACAACTTTTACACATCCGAAAATACAACTATTCTCTGGAGAATTTGGAGCATTTTGAAGACCAAAAACCTTGAAGAACTTCATCATTTTGGCTCTTGATTCTTGTTAAATGTTTGGTACAATCTTATCTAACTTTTTTTATTCAAGTTTATCCATGCTTGGCTAAACGAAACTTGGTTGACTTTGGAGAAATCCTTTGACTTTTTGTTGAATGTTGAAGATTCCATGAACTTGTGTTTGAATCTTTATGAGAATGTTTTGTATTTTAACATCTTATCACTACTTGTATGTTTTTATTCATGAGTTTAAATGTGTTTGTGGTGATTAGTTGGCTAATTTCTTGATTAAGTTAAGGATCTTCAAATTAGCAAGCAACATATGAATTTTGTGTTAGTTTTACTTCACACAATCATAAAAACATTTTCTCCAACATGGTAGTGGAAGCTTTTGACTCCTCTTGAATTTGGTGACTTTTTGGTTTTTAATGCTAGTTGACTTTCACTAATTACATGCTTAATGGAAATTGTGACTTTGACTAAGGAAATTGTTATGAGCTTCTCTAACCATTTTAACAATTAAGAAAAGTCTAGGTAATCTCAAGCTTCTTGGATTACTATAGCCAAATTAAATAATTAAAACAAGTATTGCACCATTGGATTCTAGTGATATGTTCATCAAAAGTCAAAGTGAGGAAACCTTGAGTCAACCATCTTTCTCTTATTGATTTTACATCAAACTCTTATTTTTGCTAAATCGTTCATTTAAGTTCTAGTTTAATTCTAGTTTTAATTTAAGTATTTCAAAATAATCAAAACCCCCCATTTTTATTTTTATTGCCTTTTTACAAGTACTTTTGCAAAGAGATTTTCCATAGAGTTATAAAATTGAACCAATCTCCGCGGATTCGACCCTTTTACAACTATACACTATTTTAGTGTAAAAGATTTAGGGTTATTTATTTTGTTGGCCTCGACAACCACCAGAGATCCATAAAAAGAGGACCATTTAGTCAAGATATGTTGGTCGATGTTGGTACCCGAGGCATCTGGTATAAGACCTTGGAGGGTTTCTGTGGCATCCTTGGTAAAGACCTCGGGGGGGTTCCCGATGCGCATGGGCGCGGGGTTCCTGAGGCACCCGGAGTAAGACCTTGGAGGGTTTCCAGGCATCCTTATATGGGCTTTATGGGAGGGCTGGGAGTTTGGGTCTCCCTTGATGATTCAAGTCCTAACATTATCTCATATTATTATTCAACAGCGGAGGTTACAGCCCGTTAGGAGAGCAGCTTTTATATTCAGCAGACAAAGGTGAGTCTCCTCACCATACCAATGGGTCTAAGGCACCAAGGCCGGCGCATCAATTGTTATGTGATGTGTTATGCTTGATTAATTGTGACAGGGGTTCCCGAGGCACTTGGTATAAGACCTCGGAGGGTTTCCGAGGCATCCTCGGTAAAGACCTCGGGGGGTTCCCGAGGCATCTGGTATAAGACCTAGGAGGGTTCCCGATGCATATGTTGTGTGCATGGCTTATGTGATGTATGTAGCCGTAGGGCTAATATGATATGCGGTAACTGATTTGTATGTGTGGTATGCTCTGGGGAACTCACTAAACATTAGCTTACAGTTTGTGGATTTGTTTCAGGTACATCTGAGCCCAAGGGCAAGGGCAAGGTTTGATGTCGTGGCGTGCACTCTCACGTGGATGTTTTACGGGACACTCTGATAAACTGAAAAATAAAGTTGTTATGAATATGGATTTGAAACAATTGTTTTGGAACTTCTTGATTCATGGGAATGTATTTGGTTAATTAAAAATGAAAATTTGTTTTGAAAATTTGGGTTGTTACATTATTCAACTCCAACGAAGAAACAGTTGCATATTATTCAAACAATAAGGTCGAGAAACTATTTAAAAAGCAATTTAATGGAAAGTTCAAGAATAATTATGATGGCAAGGGTGTATCTTTGACTGGGAAATTTGTGAAGGCAACAATAAAGGTAGAAAATAAAGATGTAGAGAGTTTGAATGAGAATAAGAAGGAATTGAATTTGAAGGGTGTTTCTGGATATAATTGTAACTGATGCAATGGTTACAAACACTTAGCGAAAGATTGTATGCTAAGAAAGAAAGAAGAGCAGAAGGAGAGAGTTAAGGATGAGGCTTAGTATGTTGAGAAGATTTGTAACATCTGGTTTTGAGGAACTTGTATTATCCCATCGAACTTATCGTGTTTGTTTTAAAAGGTCACCCAACTTTTTTTTTGTACATTAAGGGAATGAACTCTTGTTTAACCTGTTAAAAAAGTCACTTAACCCACTATATGAGGTTTTAATCTCATTGTATCCACATTTCAGTTTCTTATACCCAAATCCTTTAATCAATCGGAACCAGTACTCTTTAAATACATCTCTTCTTCAGTGCCACTCCAAAAATGGTGAACACCATATCCAAAATCAAAAAAAGCCAGAACACTAAGAACAACCAAAACACCAAATAAAACCAAAAACACCAAAAAATCCCAAAACAACCCAGAACACCAAAAAACCAAAAATCCTTCTTCTTCCTCTTCCAAACCATTTGCTGATGATACTTACTGTTCCTAGTAGCTTCCAGTTGCAATATACGAAACCATTGCTTGTAAGCAAATAGCTGTGAAGCTTGCTTCATAAACTGACTGATCATGTCTTCTTTTACATTGATTGCTTTTTGTGCAGCTTTTTCAGCTTCCCTTGCTCGTGTTTGAGAATGGAAAAGTGCTTCTAAAAGCTCAGGCTTGCTCAGTTCATTTTGACTCTTTTTCTCTGCTTCAAATTCCTTGATTTTTGCATATTTTTCTTCCATTTCCATGGTTTCCCATGATGGTTCTCAAAAAGAGTTGGGATTTTCTTTAGCTTGATGTTGTAACCACAATTTGGTGTCACCTGCAAGATCATATAACTTGACTCCATCACCGGGACTTTCTTCTGAAGGTGATTTAGATGAAGATGGTGAAGTTCCCTTGTAATCTTCTTGAACTACGGAACTATTAGCGTAATGAACCCACCTAGGCTTACCTTCTCCTGAATCCGTTATCTCCTGAACAGATTTACAGAAAAATCAAACGAATAATTAGGAAATAGCACATCTGCCGCCTGTTAACATGAAGATGTGTAACAATCAGATAACAAGATATCGATCGATGAATCTGGTTGTAGGGTTAACCATGGAATTAAGGAACAATCAGATACAAGAGCAATCGATTAAACAAAGTAGTATCAATAATTGATCCGATTAAACAAAGTAGAAATTGGCAAATAATTAATGATGAAATGAACAACAAAGAGCAATACCTTTTAACATGAAGATGGGTAACAAGATATCGATCGATGAATCTGATTTCTTGGTTGGTGGTCGTATCGATCGATGAATCTGCAAGTATGAATTACAAGACCCGTCCTCCACTATTGTAATAAAAGAAGCCAGGAGAGATCGAGGCCATCTTCATTTGGCGGATACCCTTGATGGAAATCGGAACCATTCACATTTGAATGTGTACGAGATCTGGGTGGTCAAACAGTGGTCAAGGCATACTTTTTACAGGCTTACCCGGTATTAGGTCACATAAGGATGTTTTAAAATAGGAAAATGAGAGTTCATTCCCTTAATGTACAAAAAAAAGTTGAGTGAAATTTTAAAACAAACACGATAAGTTCGATGGGCTAATATGACATTTGCCCTATTGAGATTTATTGCATATTGGTCCTTAAGTAAATGGAATAGTGCAAGGGCCACATCAATCCTATGGTGCACATGCAACCCTAATGCTTTGGATCTAGGTTTTTCTCAAGTTATACATGCAATATTAATCATCCAAAACATGAACCCTAACTAGCATACAATTTTCGAGATTTACAATCATAAAACCAAGTTAGGAGAATACCTTTTCCTTGCATCTTGTAAATCTTGACCTTCAAGATCTTAGTGCCTCAATTGTTGTACCTCTAACGAGTCACAAAAACCAAGTAACAATTGGAAGAATATGAGAGAGGTTAGAGAGGCTCAAAATCGGCTAGGGTTTCTTTCTTAGAAGAATAGGCCGAAATTGGGAGTCCAGGGGGTTCCTTTTATAGTTGAGGCTTATAGGGTTTTCAACATGGAAACCCTAATTCCCTTGCTTAGGCCCTAAGAAACATATGGATTACCATAAGTCAAGCCTTGGACGAAATCTATATGGATCCCCATGAAGATTTCGTCCACCCTATACCAATAGGGTCCATGAGCCCAAACTACAACTATTACTGATTTACATAATCAGTCCCTATTAATTTAATCAGTCTCTTTTGATCACTAAATTAATTTCAAATTAATTCTTGATCAATACTAATTAAATAATATGATTTCTTAATTAATATATTATTCTTATAATATATTAATAAATCACAATTAACCTCTTTCTCTATTATCCATCCTATCAAATTGCTATAGTGAAGGCAACCCAAAAGGACCATGCTACTATCGGGTCAAGTACATACCAATTATAGTTATGGGCTTAGACATCTAATCCAACAGTCTCTCATTTGGATAAGTCTAATAACTATAATTTTCAATGCAACTTCAAATTCCGATTAGCAATCGTAGCTCTCAAATAGCCGCTATCGAACTCTGACCTAGTCAATGACGCGTCCTTTAGATAAGGGATCATATAATCCTCTATTCTTCAAGATATCGTGTGGACAAAGACATGGAATAGAGTCATACTCAATGTCCAACTGTTTGTTTCCCGATTTCTGATTTGTTTGACATAGAACTTAATTGAACACATCAATTCAGTGTTGATCGGGCCCGGCATATAAATCAACACAAAATCATCGAGGGGACCAAGATATTGCTTTTAATCCTCTTAGTATAAAAGGAACAGATAAACTTTGACTTATATGCTTGTACTAATTACTTGTCAATTTATACACAACAATACGTTTTATAACATCAAGTGACTGATGCGTTTTCATACTATCAATGTACAACCAACTCATAATCAACAACTCATATATCTTGGTTTGAAGATTATAAGATATTATCATATCACAATCACTTGTGATAAATTCCATGAAGTAATTCATATGAGCGTGGGTTTAATCCAATAATCAAATCCCTATTTCAAGAATACTCATGAACGTTGCAGCAAACTTTTGCTATGTCTAAACACTTAGACAATCTACAAGCCAATTCATGACAGTCTATCCTCATAACTTACTTCCAAAGTATGATTGACTGTGGATAATTCGAATAATCCTATTATTCAAGAAGTAAAACATGCAAAGGTGAAACACAAAATAAACAATTGACAAAAGATAGTAAACTTTACTCATAAATAAAACTCTTATTACTTAATCATCAAATGTCAATTACATTTATTTATTACAAGTTTATAACTGTCTATCTAATCACTAAAAATAATATCGTCCCTCGGGCCAATGCTCCTAGAATGCTGAAAATGCTTAACCCTACTTAGTCCCTTTGTAAGAGGATCTGTTGGGTTCTCCTCTGACGATACCCTCTTCACTACAAGGAGTCCCTCTTCTACCCCATGTATGATGAAGTGATATTTTCTGTCGATGTGCCTAGATCTGCCATGATCCCTTTCTTCCTTGGTTAAGGCGACCGCACCCTTGTTATCACAGAAAATTTCCATGCTCCTTTATAGCCGGTACAACTCCAAGGTCTCCAATGAATTTCTTTATCCATATTGCCACCTTCGACGCTTCGATCGCTTCTATGTACTCTGATTCGCACGTTGAATCAGCTACGGTCTCCTGCTTATAACTTTTCCAAGTCACTGCTCCTCCATTTATGGTAAATACCCAGCCCGACTGAGAGCGGAAATTATCTCGGTCGATCTGAAAGCTGGCGTCACTATACCCTGTCACTCTCAAGTCATCACTCCGACCGAGGGTAAGGACCCAATCCTTAGTCGTTTGTAGGTACTTTAGAATGTTCTTTACTGCTATCCAATGAGCTCTACCAGGGTTCCCTTGATATCGACTAATCATGCTCAAAGCAAAAGCCACATCAGGGCGAGTACATGTCATAGCATACATGATCGATCCAACAGCGGAAGCATATGGCACTCGCCTCATCTCTACCATCTCGACATCAGTACTCAGACTCTGATTTTTACTCAGTTTGGTATTGCTCTGGATAGGTAATTCTCCTTTCTTGGAATTCTCCATGTTAAAACGTTTCAACACCCTGTCCAAGTAGGTACTTTGACTAAGTCCTATTAGTCTTGTTGGGTTTTGAGCATTCTAATACTCCTATGGTGTACATGCAACCCTATGTGATTTGGATCTATGTTTTCTCTATTATACATGCATACATTCAAAATTCCAAAGCATCATCCTAATTGGCATATTATGAAGCAACTATACTACAAAAGTCTAGTTAGATGACATACCTTTTGATGGAGATTGAAGTCTTGAACCTTTAAGAGCTTAGTGCCCCAAGTGTTGCACCTCAAATGGTTCACACAACACCACCAACAATTGGAATAACTTGAGAGAAGGTTATTTGGTTCACCCTTTATGAAATTTGGCTGCCCTCTTTTGTGTATGCACTAGTGCCCATTTCATGAACCATAGGGCCCTTTATATAGTGTGGCTCATTAGGGTTACACCATGTAAACCCATGACTTTCCATTTCCTTCATGATAAAGCCTTCATGGAGTATCCATGGGTTAAGCCCAACATGAAGGACAATGGATCACAAGCCCACACATATATAAGAATGAATGATTTACGTAATCAATCCCCATATATTTAATTAGTCTCTTTTGATCACAAAATTAATTCCAAATTAATTCTTGATCAATACTAATTAAATAATATGATTTCATATTAATATATTCGAACTTATAATATATTAATATAAATCATAATAAATAACCTTTTCTCATTTGTCTATCTAATTATTCCGATGTCATGCAACCCAAATGGACCATGCTACTCTCGGGTCAAATACATACCAATAATAGTTATGGGATTATACATCTAATCCAACAGTCTCCCACTTGGTTAAGTCTAAAACTATTATTACGTATGACTCCAAGATCCCGACTAGCAATCGTAGCTCTTAAAGCCGCTGTCGAACTCTGACCCAGTCAATGACGTGTCCATTAGATAAGGGATCATATATTCCTCCATTCTAGATATCATATGGACTGAGACATGGATTATAATCATTCTCTCTGTCCATCTGTTGTTTCCCGATTTCCGATTTATGATGACTGACTAATTGAACAAATCAAATTAGTCTGGTCCCGACCGAGCACTTAGAATTTGTCATCACTAAATCATCAAGGGACCCACAGATATCGCTTTTATCCCTCCAAGGGTAAAAGGAATGGATAAACTTCGAACCAAATGCTCGCTTGCACTTACTTATCAAATCACACACAACAACATGTTTTATAACACCGAGTTACCGGAGCGTTTTCATATTATCAATGTGCAACCGACTTGCAGTTACAACTCACATGTCTAGGTTTCAAGAATATAAGATATTATCGTCTCATTAATCACCCGTGATAAAATCCATGAAGTGATTAGATGAGCGTGGGTTGAATCCAATACTCGAATCTCATTCCAGGAGCACTCATGAACACTGCAGCTATGTCTATAAACAAACTACAGAGCCATTCATGACAGTCTTGCCTCAATACCTACTTCCAAAGTATGATCGACTGTGGATGGTTTGAATAACCTAGTTATTCGGGAAGTCAAAACATGCAAAGTGAAACACAAGAATAATACTAATCCTATATGGCCCCGAACCTTTTGAGCCATATTGATTACTCATTATTCATTGTTTAA